CCAAAGGTGACTGATTTTATCACAGAGAGAAGTCTCAGAGAAGTCTCAGGCTCTGTTCAGTTCCAGAGCATGCCCATTTGTCTTCCTAGCAACCTTTCCTTCCCTCTCTCCTGGCTGCTCTGGGCGGGCAGGCCTGTTGCTTGCAAAGGCACCGATGTTAGCATGAGTTTCAATAAACCAAATCCTGTTAAATGGTGCTCCCATCAGGCAGCTCTTTCAAACTGCACTTAGAAACTGTGGTTGAGAGACATTTAAACAATTTTTTTTTGTCATGACACTTGTTATAAATGGTTCCCAGGCTCTAAACAAAATGGTTGAAGAAAATAAGCCATGGCTTCCTTAAGGTCTACCATAACTATCTGTTGGCATTTCTGCCAGAATTCGCTCAATTTGCACTGCAAGGTTTTATAAAAAGTGATATTGTATCCATTCCTAGGACTTTTATAAGGCATTTGAAACTTTGCAACATTCCCCTTAGGTACCTAAAGGTCACTTCTGAAATTGGGCTTCTTTCCTATAAAAGCTAGGCTTAATCTAGATTCAAAGGCATTTGACAGAATTTTAAAACATCTCTTTTGCCTCTCCAGGCTGACTGGCTTTATGTTCAAAGCACACTCATTTCCGCGGCACAGTGACTTCCCTGAAATCTAATTGTGTGTAAATGACAGAGGAACTTCACACAAGGAGACGTGCAATCTGACTCTCATCCTATAATGAGTACGGATTTCAATTTTAGAGTAAATATAGAATTTATGGATTCATCTCTACTAGTACATCTGAGTGAATACGACTGAAAATGTGAGGGATAGAATCAAAGATACCAAACAGGGCAGAGAATTTGAGAAACATGAGTTTCTCATGGGAAAGGAGTACATTTGTCTTCCTATTGCCGCTGTAGCAAATTACCACTGTTATAGTGTCTTAAATTGACATTCATTAATTTTCTCCCAGTTTTGTAGGTTGCAATCTGGTACACTCATGTTAGGGTCGCACAGGCTAAAACTGAGGTGTCAGTAGGGCTGCATTCTTCTTCTTTTTAAAAAAATATATTTTATTGATTTTTTTACAGAGAGGAAGGGAGAGGGATAGAGTTAGAAACATTGATCAGCTGCCTCCTGCACGCCCCCTACTGGGGATGTGCCCACGACCAAGGTATATGCCCTTGACCGAAATTGAACCTAGGACCCTTTAGTCCGCAGGTCAACGCTCTATCCACTGAGCCAAACCGGTTAAGTTGAGAAGTGCTTCTTACCAAGATACAATACATCTCCAGTTTATAGATGGGAAAACTAAGGTTGAATAATTTTTAGTGTTATAGTCACTTGCTAATAAATGGTGGAGCTGGCATTTAAATCCTAGTCTCAGTCTACACTGTGAGCACTGGGTCTCCAAGGTATGCTACCTCTGACCGAGGCCTGGACCCACCAGCAGTGCCCAGAAGTCATTTCTGAAAACACCGAGGAAGCTGGGAAGAGACTTCCCACAGGGGTACCCTGGCCATTCTGACCCAAAGGACAAGTTCACCTGGAAGCCCATAGAGCAGGGTTATTCAGGTCTCTAACCATTCATTATAATAGCACCTCCCTCATTAAATAAGAACAGTAGTCAGATAAGTTCAAGACAAAAAATTATCGTAACAGACATCAAATGTTGGCTGTGTGGTAGGCATTAGGATCAGAACTTTACATATATTTAATCCCTACAATGACCTACAAAGTAGGTGTTATTGTTCCCTTATTGCAGATGAGCAAAAAATAACACCTACTCAGAGAGGTTAAGTAATTTGCCCAAGGCACAGATAAGTTGTAGGAATAAGAAATACCAAGTATCCTGCAAATGTTAATATAAGACAATGGGAATCAGGTGATCATCCAAGAGCTACTAAGGAAACTAGCAGTTGCTGGCAAATGAGAGTCATGCCTGGGCCTGTGAGCCTTGTGAATTCAGCCATGGTGACTTTGGGAAACTAAAAGTCCCTCCTGTGGGGAGATGGGGGGAGAGAGGGCTTATGGAAACCAGAGTCACAGAGGACCTGAGGATAGGTGCTCCATAAAAAGAATTCAACAATAGTTCACAATAAAAATATGCTCATATTTATGGAATTCATCTCTCACATTTGATGAAATATTAATGACATTTTCTCAGAAAGGCATGAGAAAGAAACACCTAGGAAGAAAAAAAAAACAAGTTTGCAACTTGTTGCCACAGATATATCTTTTAAAAAAATCCATTTTAAAGCTTGCCAACTGACAGATGAAATTATCATGAAAAATGAGAGTGAGGTTGACAAGGACAAAGTGTAAAAGCTGCTAACCAACACTGTTCGGCTAGCCTCCCACTCATTCTCTCTTGGTAGTTCAATCGACACATCAACAGCATTTAAAAAAATTTAAAAAACCCTCACGAACAGACTATATTAATGCTAAATTTTTTAAAAAAAATTCTCACTGGAGGATATGTTTTTATTGATAGAGAGAGAGAGAGAGAAAGAGAGAGAGAGAGAGAGAGAGACCAATGTGACAGAAACATTGATCAGTTGCCTCCCGTACACGCTCTGACCAGGTATGGAACCCACAACCTAGATATGTGCCCTGACTGGGAATTGAACCTGTAACCTTTTGGTGTGCAGGACGACAGTTCAACCAACTGAGCAACCTGGCCAGGGTTAATGCTAAATTTAAATTTTCACTACAGAAAATATATTAATGATAAAGGGTTAAGTGGACTTTAAAAAACCTCCAAAAGTAATGATTTATTAGAAGGGGGAGTTGATTAGCGACCAGCCTTTGACATATAGGTCCCTTTCAAGATCTGAGTAAGATCAGGAGAACACTGAAGATCTGTATGAAGTAGGTGTTCTGGAGATTGGCGATTTGTAGCTCTTCTCTTTGGTTGTAAGGTGGCAGAACCTCCATTGTTGGAATCGGGACAGGTAGAGGGGCCTCCTGCATGTTTTAGTGTTTGCCCTTCTTGCACCTCTGTTTTACCTCTACAATTTCTCCAGAATGACATGCTTCATGCTTGCTTGTGTGACACAAAAGCCCCAGCAAGTGTGAGGCAATCTCAAGGCAGTCTTTTCAACTAGAAATTTGTGGTGAAATCAGAAAAAGGAAGTCTTTGGATTCTCATTATTATACTAGAGGCCTGGTGCACAAAATTCATGCATGGGAGGGGGTCCCTCAGCCCAGTCTGCACCCTCTCGCAATCCAGGACCTTTCGGGGGATGTCCGACTGCCGGTTTAAGCCCAATCCCGCTGGATCCTAACCGCTTGCCTGCCTGCCTGATCGCCCCTAACCACTCGCCCAGCTGCCGGATTTTGCCCCTAAAACTCAAGCTTCTTTTTTTGAATTTTTAATATTTATATTTCTTCTTTATTTTTTATTTTAAAAGTCAAGCTTCTTGAGAACATGAGGCATTTAACATTATTCCATATTCCTTACAGAGAGCTAAGCATGGTAAACACAGCAAATACTTAATACTTATGGGCTTCTATACAAACACTTTCCAACCAGAAATGTTTTAATAGGCAGTTTCCAAAAACTTGAACTGGAAAACCTAAAAGTAGAGTGCTCAGATTTCAGGCATCAGGTACTATTAGCAGGATTTCTATCCCAATCAAACTCTAATTCTTAGCTCTCAACAGTCTGGACAAACAGCCCTTCACTGTCTCCAAAGTTTCTTATTCGTCACTATCCCATTTTCCTTTTTTTTTTTTAGTTCAATGTTTTATATCCACATCAGTATCAATGTACCATATAAAACCCACCTGCCAGCCTAGCTGGTTTTTGGGACAAAACCAGGGTTCTTGTCCCAAAAGAGGAGAAAATGGGTTTACAGTCAAGAAAATAAAATCAGAACCTAACATGATCAAGGAGAAGCCTTGAAATTGCATGGGGGCCGTGGTACATCTCGTCTGGCCCAGCAGTACCTGCAGCAGCCTCGGTTCCTGGGAAGCCTGGGGTTAGATAGGATCCAGCTCTTGAGGTTATCTAATGTAATGAAGAGGGAATATGCAAATTGACTGTCACACCGTCACAAAGATGGCGGTGCCCACAGCCACAAGATGACAGCGCCCAGTCCCCTCAGCCCCGCCAGAGTCCCCCAGTCCTTTCAGCCCCACTGGGGTGCGGGAGTGGCAGGAGCACGGTGTGGCCAGACCCGCCCTCAGCCCCCCAGTTGCCCAGGGCCGCCCGAGGCTCGGGTAACCAGGGCCGGCTGAGGCTTGTGCTGCTGGCAGTGGCAGCAGCAGAAGTGTGATGGGGTGTCGCCTTCCCCTGATCGCCAGGTCGCCTCCCGCCCTTGAGGGCTCCCAGACTGGGAGAGGGGGAAGGCCGGGCTGAGGAACCCCTGTCCAGTGCATGAATTTTCATGCACCAGGTCTCTAGTTTTTAATAATTTTGCTTTTCGGGGAGCAGGGCTTCTGGGCAGCAGTTCCATGTGAGGGTAACTGGTGCGGGTTTCACTTCAGGGTTTGGAGGGGAAGATGGGTCTGTGGGGTGGGACCTGCCTGGCCCCAAATGTCACAGCTGAGGTTCTTGGAAGTGGCCCAGAGAAGTTCCTTCCTGCCATCTTCCTGCTCTGACCCCAGGTCTATGGCTTAAAAATCAGGGCAACAGGCTGGGGCTGAGCATCTCAGGGGCTTTTGTAAACATGGCAGGTACAGGCAGGGGGAGCTTGGGGGAACTGAAGGAACTGGTGGGGGCAGCCAGAGCTGGGGGAGGGCAGTGCCCATGGGGATAGGGGGCATGGGGTGGAGGAGGTATGCTCCTTTAACAGAGACTTAGAGGTACAGAGACTAAGAGAGACAGAGAGGACAGAGATGGGGATAGAAAGAGTGACAGGAAGAGAAAGACTCAGAGAAAGCAAGAGAGAGAGTGAGAAAGAGAAAGATTCACAAAGAAGAGAGACAGACAGACAGAAAGATGGGGTCCTGCTCTGTTTGAGTCAGTGGGCTGTGTGTGTGTGTGGCGGGGGGAGGCCCAGGGCCTGGGGCTCCCACGGGATGTACCAGTGTGACAGTAAGTGCATCATTGTGTTGCACGAGGGAGATGTGCTGGTCATGCAGCACCAGCTCCTTCAGAGACCCGTACAGGTTGTAGGGCTCCACAGAACTCAAGCCAGTGGCCGTGCAGTAGATGACACAGTGCTTGGTATCGCCATCCACCACCACAGAGCAGGCATCGCAGCCCTGCTGGCTCCTTTCATGGATGAGGAAGGTACCATCCCGCTTGCCTTCAGCATTTCCTCAGCCTGCATGCGGCTGATCTTGCCCACATACCAGGTTCGTTCCTCATGTTGGGGGAGGTCATCCTCATCCCCCATCAGTGCATACTGGTCTTCAGTCTCATTTTTGATTCCCAACCACTCGTTGATTTTCTTCTGCCGGGCGCCTTTCTGGGTGAGCCATACCAGGTACTGGTCTCGGATCTTGTGCAGCTGCATGAGGTCTGGCTTCAGGCTGTTCATGTGCTTATGGATCTCCCGGTTGTCCAAGGTCTGTGTCCACAGCTCCTGTTTCGGCTTCATGCGGCTCTTGTGGATCTCGGTGATGCGAGACTTGAGCCGTTCTGAGTTGAGCAGGATCCTCTGCATCTGTTTTTCATTGCCCTCATGCTGGAAGCGCTCCAGATACTCCTTGCTGCACTTCTCTTGAGTCTGGCCCTGCTCTTCGAAGATCTTGATAGTTTCATTGAAGGCTTCGATTGCTGTGTGCTTCATCTGCAGTTCCCGTGAGGAGGCTTTCAATCTGTAACAGACTGTGAGGTGCGTGTGTACTCCTCGTAGAGCTTGTCCTACTCGCGGCTCCTTGTCCTCCGCTTCAAACCAAGGTAACAAATGAAACCTTTAATTCTGATCTTCCTCGCTGCAAGGGAACAGCAAATCTCAACAGAGATAATTTCCTGCCAGAAGTCACATTGCGAGACTGAGGACTACAGAGCTGACTATGTACATGCACAATAACAGGCTCACGTTCTAGTGCAGTGGTTCTCAACCTTCTGGCCCTTTAAATACAGTTCCTCATGTTGTGACCCAACCATAAAATTATTTTCATTGCTACTTCATAACTGTAATGTTGCTACTGTTATGAATCGTAATGTAAATATCTGATATGCAGGATGGTCTTAGGCGACCCCTGTGAAAGGGTCGTTCTACCGCCAAAGGGGTCGCGACCCACAGGTTGAGAACCGCTGCTCTAGCGGTAGGCACCCAGGCGTCCTTCACAATCCCACAATCCTCTGGTCGCATACTTCCGGCTTTTCTAGCCCCTCCTTAGGTGGTGTTTCCTTTAGTGGAGTGGCAACGTCCAAGGCCTCTAGTTGGAGAGGATTTTTCTGTTTTGGAGTTGATAGCTGTTTACTATTTGGAATCAGTGAAGTTTCGGGAGTACAGCCGCTGCCATGAACATGTTGGTCCCAAGACACTCATGAAACAACCGCCCATTCAGTCCACGGCTGGTGCCGTCCTGGTTCGCAATGAGAAAGGTACTGTGCTGAGCCATTTCCCAATCGGGGCTTCCTCTTCCTTCCCCAGCACACTCCAAACCTACTCCGGCGACCACCCCAACCCTGCAGACCCTTAACACCTTCCCCTCTATTTCTTCGACTTTCCCCCATCGAACTCACACCCTATCGCATTGCCTAGGGGCGCCCCTAACTGCTCCCTGGGGGGTGGGGCCAGCCTGGGCGAGGGGCCGTGGTGTTCTGGTCTCTGGTCCCTAAGGTAGCTGGCTTTTTATATATACTACTACAGTGGGGCCTTGACTTACCAGTTTAATTTGTTCCGAGACCCAGCTCGTTAAGGAGCTCGTTAACTCAAATTACTCTGTCAACTCAATGCAAAAAATCGGCCGAGAGACAGCTGGTATCTCAAAAAACTCGTTAGTCGGGACACTCGTAAGTCAAGGCCCCACTGTATAGACATCATTAGATAATAATACTAGTGGCTACAATTTATTATTGAGCGTTATGCATGTGCCAGGCAGTGTACTCGGTCCTTTAATATATTATCTCATTTCATTCTCATGTGATAGAGGAGAAACCAGAAGCCTAGAGAGGTTACAGGATGTGTCCGGGCTTGTGATGTTGGTGGGGGCTGGGATCCAAAGCTGGGCCCCACCGTGTAAGATCTAAGAACCCAGGCTCAGCCCTGGCCGGGTGGCTCAGTTAGTTGGAGCATTGTCTTGTGCACTGAAAGGTTGAAAGGTTGAGGGTTTGATTCTGGTCAAGGGTGAGTACCTGGGTTGTAGGTTCGATCCCCAGTCCCGGTGCGGTGCCTATAGGAGGCAACCAATCAATGTGTCTCTTTCACATCGATGTTTCTCTCTCCTCTCTCTCTCTCCCGCCCTTCCACTCTCTCTAAAAATCATTGGAAAAAAATATCCTTGGGTGAGGATTAAAACAAAATAAAATAAAAACACACACAACAAAAACAACCCAGGCTCAGGGATCAAATGACTTGGGTTTACCACTTTTTACCACTTTTGCTTGTGTAACTTCGGGCAAGTTAAATGACCTTTCCGTGCATCCATTTCCTCGTCTGTAAAAAAGGAGTAAAAAGTAGGAGCTACCTAGTTTATTCAGTAAGTTGCATATAACCAATATGCAAAAGCCCATGTTCTTGACCAGTTCACCATACTCCAAATGTGAAGCAAGAGTCTGAGCTGGGAGTGCAACAGGAGATTGTATTTGAAATTCCACCTCCTTCCCTCTTGGAGGCTGCCACTCCGCCCTCCAAACTTAAGGGTCTTTTTGTCTTAACGTATACTTACCTCTGCCCTTTCAGAACATGAGTTTCATGATGAGGTTCTAATCAGCAAAGACCATGCTGGGCAAGTTGACATTAGATTTTACTTTTTTCTTTTACACAAAAATTAGTTAAGTTTGGGGTTTTAATTGCATTTTGGTTTTAAAAAATGAACAAACTACCACAGAATTTTCTCTTAAGAAATTGTGTTTTAAATGTACATAAGTGATATATTAATACAACCTGTTGTAAAAACAACAAAACCAAACCATGAAGCAGAAATGCATACAATAAAAAAGCCGAAGTTCCTTTTTAATCCGTTCCAACTCTACTTTTCCCCTACCCCAGAGGCAACCACTGAGAGTCATTTTTTGTGTAACATTCTAGACCAGGGGTGGGCAAACTTTTTGACTCGAGGGCCACAATGGGTTCTTAAACTGGACCGGAGGGCCGGAACAAAAGCATGGATGGAGTGGTTGTGTGAACTAATATCAAAGTAAACATCATTACATAAAAGGGTACGGTCTTTTTTTTTTAGTTTTATCCATTTCAAACGGGCCATAGTTTGCCCACGGCTGTTCTAGACTGTTTTGTGGGCATTTTTATATGTAGACAAATATGCATCTGTGTCTATTTTTTAACTACGGATGGAATAATATTTGACATAATTTAATATTTTTATTTTAATGGCTGTCCTACTAAGTGAAATGCAGACTCCCCATTGAGGCAATGAAGACCCTTTAATGTCTGCTTGCCCCCTCTTCCCACAACACCCTTGCAGGTGCCCTCTCTTCAGGAAAATTACCTGTTGTGTTCTGAATGAGATCTGGTCACCACTATTTTTATAGATTTGCTATTACATTCCTAGCCTGGAATACCCTCTCCTAGTTTTTCCATCTTTCCAATATTACTTCTCATAAAACTTCTAAAAGAAAAAGTAGGCAAAAAACTCGTTGACAGTGGTCTTAGCAATATCTGTTTGGCTATGTCTCCTTGGGCAAGGGAAACAAAAGAAAAAATAAATAAATGGGACTACATCAAATTAAAAAGTTTTTGCACAGCAAAGGAAACCATCAACAGAATGAAAAGATAGCCTACTGGATGGGAAAAAGATATTCACAAATGATATATCCAATAAAGGGCTAACATCCAAAAATATAAGGAATTCATAAACCTTAATAGCAAAAACACACCGCAATCCAATTAAAATATGGGCAGAGGACATAAATAGACAGTTTTCCAAAAACAGATGGCAAACACGTAAGAAAAGATGCTCAACATCACTAATCATCAGGGAAATAAAAATTGAAACCACAATGAGATATAACCTCACACATATCAGAAAGGCTATTATGAAAAAGTCAAGAAATATCAAGTGTTTCTGAGGATGTGAAGAAAAGGGAGTCCTCGTGAACTGTTGGTGGGATTGTAAATTGGAGCAGCCATTATGGAAAACAATCTGATCTGGAGAATCCTCAAAAAACTAAAAATAGAGTTATCATATGACCCAGCAATTAAACTTCCTCATATTTATCCAGAGAAAATGAATACACCAATTAAAAAAAACATATGTACCCCTATATTCATTGCAGCTTTATTTACTGAAGTTAAGATATGGAAGCAATGTAGGTGTCCATCAATTGATGAATGGATGAAGAAGATGTGGTATATATATGCAATAGAATATTACTCAGGAATAAAAAAGAATGAAACTTTGCTATTTGTGACAACATGCATGGACCTAGAGGGTATTATTCTAAGTTAATTAAATCATACAGACAAGATGAATGTCATATAATTTCATTTATATGTAAAAACTAAAAAACAAAACAAATGAACAGCAACAACAAACAAACCAAAACAAAAAACAGACTCATAGAAACAGAGATCAAACTGATGGTTGCCAGAGGGGAGGGGGCTGGGGAGGATGGGTGAAAAGGTGAAGGGGAATGTAGTCGATAATGTGATCAGTTTGCACAGTGACAGATGGTTACTAGACTTATGTGGAGATCACAGCATAAGGTATATAAATATCGAATCACTCTGTTGTACACCTGAAACTAATATAATGTTGTATGCCAACTCTACTAAAATCAATTTTAAAAAACTGAGTTAGGTGGTTATAGCAAAGAAATAGTGTGGTCAGTTATAAGATTACCATTTATGATTGAGAAGAAAAATGTTCATGAATTTCAGCCACTTTATAAATAGAAACTGGGTCATATGACAAGATCCAGGGAAGCTCAGTTGGGACAAAGCTGAGCCATGTAACCATGGGAAACAGGTGAATTATTTATAATTTTTATTTATATTAAAGTACATTTAGTTTTTGAATGCCAGGCTAATTTACCAATTATGGCAAATTGATGCTGATATTGAAAATTCAAATTTATTGGAAGTATCACTGTTAGACTTTAGTGACTATGTTTGACTTAAAATAGATTTACTAAGGAAAACCTTCAAGCAAGTGTGCTTATACTCAGTCATTTTTACCTAATAGTCACATTTTAATATTCTTTAAATCTCATTACAGTAATCTTGCTGGGGTGCTGCTGAATTCTTTGGACTAGAATTTAGGTTTTAAATAAGTGGGTGGTAAGCTGATCTTTGGAGCTCTTTTCTTTATGGTAAAATTTTGAACCTGTGTGATTTTTAAATCGATTCCCCCCTTAATATACCTCTAAAGTCTTTTTCCTATTTCTATTACTTTTTGCAGATTCAGTATATATAATTTTTCAGTAACTACTTATATTTTTGCCTATATTATTCGATAATTAGAGGCTTGAACATTAATTCCTAATTTTGTGAAGCATTCTTTGTAAACTGGTATTCAATTATAGAAATGAATTAGTTATTGATGAATAGAACCTTCATAACCAGAATGGTGTAGAAACACCCATAACTTTTTCTTTCTCCTTAGCACGTTTAAAAAGCATTAAAATAAATGACCAAGAGCTCACTGAATGTTTATGACTTTGGTTTATGCAGGCAGGCTAATGGGATGAAAGGCTAATCTGTCACTTGGCTCTCACTGCATTTAATTAGCTTGGACCACTTTATACCAGACTGGAAATACCTTATTTCCTTTTCTTTTTCCCAGGACAAAGTAAAATGAACAGTAACAGGAAATGGTTAACTTAAAATCAGGGTTGATGTAAATGGAAAGAAAAACAAGCTTATTATAGAAAACAAAGAGCATCGACAGCCAGCAGCTACTCTTGAAACAGGCCATTTCGACTTTGGGCCATGTTTTCTTCCTTGTGAAAGAAATGGCTGCTCTATTGTCTCTGTGCCATTGCATCAATAACGTCCTGAGTTACACAGCTGTTGCAGGGAGAGGTGTATGGGGTTTAGGCAACAAGATTCATGGGTTTATGTTTCTATATATAAGAAATAAGTTCACATTCTTAACTCTAAGTTATGCAGCATTTCATATTTTTGAAATGCTTTGTAATCATTATTAGTTGTTCATATTACAAATTTGTCAACCAACATGTTGTATGAAGTGAAGATACATGGCTATAGATTATGTGGAATAGCAGTTTTTTTAATTGTAAAATTTCAGCTTTATTGAGCTATAATCTATATATATATAAGCCTAAGAGACTGGTTGACCATTTGACCGGTTGCTATGACGTGCACTGACCACCAGGGGGAAGAAGCTCAATGCAGGAGCTGCCCCCTGGTGGTTAGTGAGCTCCCACAGCGGGAGCACCATTCAGCTGACCATCAGGCGCCAGATGCCGGCTCACGGCTGGTGAGAGCAGCTATGGCGGTGCGAACCTCTCCTGCCTCCGTGGCAGTGCTACTGAGTGAGGGGGCTGGGGGAGCGCGGTGTCAGGCACAGCAGGGCCAGGATGAGTGGGAGCAGTGCAGTGCCTGGCCCGGGCTCAGGCTTCTCCCTGGCCACCTGCCACTTCGCACACTACTACATCCCTTGGGGGATGTAGGACTGCCAGTGTCCAACATCCCCCGAGGGGTCCTGGATTGCGAGAGGGTGCAGGCCAGGCTGGGGGACCCCACCAGTGCACGAATCTGTGCACCAGGCCTCTAGTTGACACATAAAGTTGTAAGATATTTGAAGTGTACATTGTGGTGATTTGATATATGTTTACATTGTGAAAGGATCCCCTCCCCCCATTTATTTAATTAACACATCCATTACCTCACATATTTATTTACTAAAGGCCCAGCGCATGAAATTTGTGCGCAGGTACGGTCCCTAGGCCTGGCCTGCAATCAGGACCATCTTCCCAGGCTGCCCGCAGCCGGCCCTGCCCTTGCCCCCGCCACCACCTACCCCCGGTTCCCCTTTTGCCATTGGGTGACCAGTGCCTGACGGCTGGGGGAAGGGACTGAGAGGTTGGCTGTTACCACCCGTTCGCAGGCCCTGCCCCTGCTGCGGGTCGCCCTCTGTGTGTGGGGCAACTGGCAACCACTTTCTACTCTCTCAGTAAGTTTGACTCTCTTTTGTAGAACAGTTTTTTTTTAATGTATTTTTTATTGATTTCAGAGAGGTAGAGAGAGATAGAAACATTAATGATGAGAGAGAATCATTGATTGGCTGCTTCCTGCCCACCCCCCCTGGGGATTGAACCTGCAACCTGGGCATGTGCCCTGACCGGGAATCATACCATGACCTCCTGCTTCATAGGTCGATGCTCAACCACTGAGCCATGCTGGCTGAGCTTCTCTCTCTCTCTTTTTAAGGATTCCACATATAAGTGATACCATGGAGTATTTGCCTTTGTCTGACTTAATTTCACTTAGTGTAATATCCTCAAGTTCTGTCCATGTTGTCACAAATGGCAGTATTTCCTTCTTTCTCCTTGTTGAATAATTCCATCGTGTGTGTGTGTGTGTGTGTGTGTTTGTGTGCAAAATAATATAATAATAAATAATAATACAAGAATAAAATCTGTTTCATGTACTCACAACTGTAAACCTACTTTTGCCCCACCCTGTGTGTGTGTGTGTCCTCGGGTTACATTGAACTCAACGTACATAGTTTTGTGGTTACGTCGCCATCTCCCATTTATTTATTAAAAAAAAAAGTTCCGTCATTTTGACCTATGTACATATGTGCTTTATGTTTTTTATTATTTACTAGAGTCCCTGTGCATGAAATTCGTGCATAGGGGGTGTCCCTCAGCTCGGCCTGCACCCTCTCCAATCCCCTCGGGGGATGTCTGCCTGCTGGCTTAGGCCCTATCGCAATCCGAGATCCCTTGCTCCTTATCGCTTGGCTCGCTGCTCCTTAGCGACAGGCTCCTTATCACTCGGTTTGTTGCTCCTTACTGCTCCTTACAGCTTCTGGCTGAGCGGTGCTCCCCCTGTGGGAGCACACTAACCACCAGGGAGCAGCTCCTGAGTTGAGTGTCTGCCCATTCGTGGTCAATACACATCATAGCGACTGGTCGTTCTGGTCGTTCCGCCATAATGGTTGCTTAGGCTTTTATTTTATAGATTTACCACAAGTAAAGGTCAGGAATTGTTATCTTTCTTTTAAATGTTTTTTACTGTTTCACTTCATTACTGCTGTGTATGTGCTCCATGTGAGTGATGTAGGTGCTTATGTAGGTGGGTTCCGACTTACAGTGATGTGTTGCGCTGTAGGAATGGAGCTCCGACGTAACCCGAGGACCTACTGTATACACACACACACACACACACACACACACACACTAGGTCAGTGGTTGGCAAACTGCGGCTTGCGAGCCACATGCGGCTCTTTGGCCCCTTGAGTGTGGCTCTTCCACAAAATACCACGTGCGGGCGCGCACGTACAGTGCGGTTGAAACTTCGTGGCCCATGCACAGAAGTTGGTTGTTGGCCTGGGTGAGTCTAGTTTGAAGAAGTGGGGGGTGTCAGTCGGTAGGGCAACGGGAGACACGGCGCAGGCAGGCCGTGGGATACGCAGCGCGGGGGAAGCACGCGCGATTCATGCATGAGTTGAGGATGGGAGAGTTGGAAGGGGTCGACCTCAGCGAACGTACCTCAATCAGATTGAGGACGTTTTTAGCAAAGGCCAGCTTAGGAATACCCTAATTAAGTTAATAACAGTATACCTACCTATATAGTTTAAGTTTAAAAAATTTGGCTCTCAAAAGAAATTTCAATTGTTGTACTGTTGATATTTGGCTCTGTTGACTAATGAGTTTGCCGACCACTGCACTAGGGGCCTAGTGCACGAATTCGTGCACCTTGAAAGGAACTGTGGGCCGAGCAAGGCTGCAGTAGGCACCGGGGCGGGTCTCAGCCCATCCTCCACACCCTTGCCTGACCCCTCCTGCTGCGGCCCCTGGTCCCCTGTCTGACATTAGCCCACTCCTGCTGCCGCTGTTCCTACGCGCTGATGGCACCGGCCCTGCTTGCACCCGCTGAAGGGTGGAGCAGTTGGGGCTGGCACCAGCAGCGGGTGTGAGTGGGGCTGATGCCATCAGTGGGTGCGAGTGGCAGCTGCTGCCCCGATTGCCCTTCAGGAGTAGGGGGAGGTGGAGAAGTCCTCAGGGGCAATCAGGGCTGGCAGCCGCCACTCACACCCGCTGACGGCGTCGAGTGATTGGGGCTGGTGCTGGGCGCTAGCAGTGGGTGTGAGTGGCGGCTCCGGTGCCGGCAGTGAGTGCAAGCAGGGTCGGCACCAGCAGCAGGTGCAAGTTCCAGGCAGGATCACAGAGTGCGGGAGCAAAGAATTTTCTGTAACCACCACTCGCCCTGATGATAGCGACTGGTGCCCTGCCTTGGTCTGGTGCCCCCACTCACCTGTTCTACCGTCTCACTGTGGCTGATGCACACCATGTTCTGCGCACGCCCCCTGGTGGTCAGCACATGTCATAGCAACCAATTGTTCGGTTGTTTGGTTGTTCCGTCGTTCGGTCTATTTGCATATTAGCCTTTTATTATATAGGATACACACACACACACACACACTAGAGGCCTGGTGCACGACATTTGTGCACGGGGGGCGGGGGGACGGCAGGGAGCCCTCAGCCTGGCCTGTGCCCTTTCCCAGTCTGGGAGCCCTCTGGGAATGTCTGACTGAGGGCTTAGGCCTGTAGTCCTTCATCCTTAGTGCTGCCGCGGAGGCAGCTTTTAGCCCGACTTCTAGCTGAGCAGCGCTCCCCCTGTGGGAGCGCACTGACCACCAGGGGGCAGCTCCTGTGTTGAGCGTCTGCTCACTGGTGGTCAGTGTGCGTCAGAGCGACCAGTTGTTCTGCCGTTCAGTCAATTTGCATATTACCCTTTTATTATATAGGATATGCCACATCTTCTTTATTCATTCATCTGTTGATGGACACAGGTTTCTTCCATATCTTGGCTATTGTGAATAATGTGGTATTTCTGTTTTTAATAGGAGAAACCCCATGACTGTGACATTTGATAGGGATTATATATTCATTAACTGGTATATCAAATTATGTAATAAAAATTACTTCTATCTTGGGCTGCAAAGGCTGCAGCAGATTACATGTTTTTTTTTTGACCCAGATGTAAACACTTGCTTTCCAGCATTTCCTGCTTCAAAAGAGACAGCTTGATGTTGTAGACATCTGTGTTTTAGTTCCAGGTTAGCAACTAGCTGCTTGTGTCAGTTTAAGAAAGAAATTTAACCACTCTTGGATCCATTTTCTCAGCTATACAGTGAGAGGTTCTGTCCAGATTAGTGGCCTGCAGACTGTCCTGAGTGAAGAGTCAGCACTTCCATGTCTGACATTGATCCCCAGGAGCTCTTGGGGGCCAGGGAAAGAGCCAGAAGAGGAGCAGGCCCCAGAGCAATGGGTCATGGTCTCCAAGACCTTGCCGAGACAAACTACACTCCTATTTATCTGTTGGGCCTCTTTGGAGGAAAGAAATTTCTCTGCTTAAAAAAAAGGGTTGAGCCTGGCCAGCATGCTCAGTGGTTGAGCATTGACCTATGAACCAGGAGGTCACCATTTGATTCTTGGTCAGGGCACATGCCTGGGCTGCGGACTCACTCCCCAGTGTGGGGTGTGCAGGAGGCAGCCGATCAGTGATTCTCTCTCATCATTGATGTTTCTATCTCTCTCTTCCTTCCTTCCTCTCTGAAATAAATATATTAAAAAAAAAGGGATGAGTGTTAGCCGGTTTGGCTCAGTGGATAGAACATCAGCCTGTGGATTGAAGGGTCGCCTGTTAGATTCCGGTCAAGGGGACGTACCTTGGTTGCAAGCTTGATCTGAGGCCCTGGGTGGGATGTGTGTGGGAGGCAACCAATTGATGTGTCTCTCTCACATAGATGTTTCTCTCTCTCTGTCTCTCCCCCTCCCTTCCACCTTCTTTAAAAATCAATAGAAAAATATCCTCAGGTGAGGATTAACAACAACAAGAAAAGGGTTGAGAAAACTCTAAGATGATAACTAGGGTTCCTTCCAGTCTTTTAATTCTATACTTTAAAACAATAGAAATAACAACACAAATAATAAATGCATATAATTTAAAGGATAAATGTACTTTTTTGTCTGTATCTTGGAGTTTTATATATGACCGTGATTAATGGTGCATACTGCAGATGGGGGCTTGCAGTTTGATAGTGAAATCGACATTCTCATGGCTAATTGCTGCATGAGATATTTATCTCTGTGAATCTAATGAAGGCAAACAGGCTATACTTGATGCGATTCACATTGAATTTGGGGCATATAAACGGTTCTCTCCGTTAAAAATGTCACTATCTTGAATCTATTTCACTATCTAATTTAATTGGGGACACTTGGTTTTGTTACAATTACTAATACATCGTACTTCCTTAGCCTGAGAAATCTAAAATTTTTAAAATTTTCTTAGAGATATTTTAAGGCATTGTTTTAAAAATGGAAGTGGTGAGGGTGGAGGTGAAGATGTAGCAAAAGGAAATTTAAAATATACCTGTGTCCACAGAGTTGCCTGGCGGTTTTTTCAGTGTGAGTATAAAGATCACGGCACCGAGCAGGTTTGCAGGAGCGAGTTGGAGCATCACATCTCTGGTTTAGAAATCTGTAGTGCTGTGACCTAGATACGGAGCAGAGGGACGCCAAAGGGGGCAGGGGAGAGGGGCAGGGGAGTCCTGCTGCATTTCCCTGTGGTTTCACATCCCTGCATCTGCCCCTGCCTTTTCACACTGCAGGACTCCTGGGGTCCCAAGTCTGCTTGAACTTAGCTGCCTGGATTTCTATGGGAGGTGGCAAGGCAGCCTGTGTATTTTTGTCATCACGCCATCCCCTGTGCTCTCACTCTCCTCCAATAAACCTTGTCCCTTTAACTGATTACTACTCTGCCCCCAAGAAATCTGCCCCTAGATGGAGAAGAAATCTCAGGGTCAGGATTTTCTGTGCTTGAGCTTGGATGGGCCTCTGCAGCCAATAGTCAGAAAATGTCATTGCTGTTAAACAGGGGACAATAAATCTCCAAGCCACCCAGTAATGCAATCTCCCTCAGCATGGGAAAAGGTCAAGCTTGAGCTGTACATAAATTCTTGTCACACAGCAGCATGTCTCTTCAGGTGAGATAGCAAATCTTCACGGAGATAAATGGCCACACATACCATCATTCTCTTCCTATGGTCCTGGGCTTCCTTAGTTAGTTTTCTATAGCTGATCTTGCACAAAGCTTGCTTATTAACATTCCCTTGATGTGTAAAGATCTCCCCGACATACAGCCTGGATGAAGCAGGATGGGGTTGGGCTCCAGAGGGTTCTATACTCTATATGCCATAAACAAAAGGTATAAAGTATAGGCTCTAGTACTCTTGAAGGGGAGAAATTTTGATTTACAGCCTGTCTGTATTAAAGGAAGAGAGGACATAGTTGATTCTTTCTTTGGTATATAAAATTCCATGGAAACTTTGACAACAAGTCGTTAGAATACTGTAAATGAAAAAATCTCCAACACATTGCAACATATAACATTTAGTTTTCTTTATCTTAATAGTCCAGAGGTTAGTACTTGGAGCCAAACACCACAAGTCTCAATTTTTTAAAAATATATTTTTTATTGATTTCAGAGAGGAAGGGAGAAGGAAAGATAGAAACATCAATGATAAGAGAGAGTCATTGATTGGCTGCCTCCTGCATGCCTCACACTGAGGTTCCAGCCCGCAACCCAGGCATGTGCCCTGACTGATAATTGAACTGTGACGTCCTGGTTCATAGGTCGATGCTCAACCCCTGAGCCACACTGGCTGAGCTAAAGTCTCAATTTTAATTCTTCAGCCAGTTGATCAACATTTATGAAGCTGCCATGTTATAAAGATATAAAGATGAATGAAGAACTCACAGCCTGGCTGTGGGGGAAAAGACCCACAAACAAATTATTAGTATATAGTACTCTAAGAGTGACAACCAAGGTTTCCCCAAAGCGCAATGGGAACTCAGAGGTGGGAGCCACTAAGTGGGAATTTTGGGAAGGCTTTCCCAAGGAAGTGTTACCTGATCACATTCTTGGAAAATGAGTAGTTGTCCTTTGGGTAGAAAAGGAAGGGGAAGTACATGCAGTTAGAGAAAAGGCTGTGTACAAAGACCCAGATATGTGAAAGGGCATGACATTTATGAGTAACTGTGAAGATTTCTTTTTTTTATTTTTTTATTTTTCGCTAAAAGTATTACAAAGAGTATTACATAAGTGTCCTTTTTTCCCCCCCCCACCCTTGACAAGCCCCTGCCCTCCCTTACCCCCCAGTGTCTTATGTCCATTAGTTATGGTTATATGGATGCATACAAGTCCTTCAGTTGATCTCTTACTCCCCTCCCTCCTGTCCCCCAACCCTCCCTGGCCTTCCCACTGCATGCAGTTCGACAATCAGTTTGAGGCAGCTCTGCCACTGTATTTATTATTGTTCGAAAGTTTGTAATGGTCTTAATTATCCACGAAAGAGTGAGATCATGTGGTATTTTTCCTTCATTGACTGGCTTGTTTCACTTAGCATAATGCTCTCCAGTTCCATCCATGCTGTTGCAAATGGTAAGAGTTCCTTCTTTTTAACAGCAGCATAGTATTCCATCGTGTAGATGTACCACACTTTTCTAATCCATTCATCTACTGATGGGCACTTAGGCTGTTTCCAGATCTTAGCTATGGTGAATTGTGCTGCTATGAACATCTGGGTGCATATATCCTTTCTGATTGGTGTTTCTGGTTTCTTGGGATATATTCCTAGAAGTGGGATCACAGGGTCAAATGGGAGTTCCATTTCCAATTTTTTGAGGAACCTCCATACTGCCTTCCATAGTGGCTGCACCAGTCTGCATTCCCACCAGCAGTGCACAAGTGTTCCTTTTTCTCCACATCCTCTCCAGCACTTGTCGTTTGTTGATTTGTTGATGATGGCCATTCTGACAGGTGTGAGATGGTACCTCATTGTTGTTTTGATTTGCATCTCTCGGATGATTAGTGACTTTGAGCATGTTTTCATATGTCTCTTGGCTTTCTGAATGTCCTCTTTTGAAAGGTGTCTATTTAGATCCTTTGCCCATTTTTTGATTGGATTGTTTATCTTCTTTTTGTTAAGTTGTATGAGTTCCCTATAAATTTTGGAGATTAAGCCCTTATCAGATATGACGTTGGCAAATATGTTTTCCCACGAGGTGGGTTTTCTTGTTGTTTTGTTGATGGTTTCTTTTGCTGTGCAGAAGCTTTTTATTTTGATGTAGTCCCATTTGTTCATTTTCTCTTTAGTTTCAACTGCCCTAGGAGCTGTATCAGTGAAGAAATTGTTTTGGCATATGTCTGAGATTTTGTTGCCTTTGTATTCTTCTAGAATTTTTATGGTTTCCTGTCGTACATTTAAGTCCTTTATCCATTTT